TGATAAATGATTATAAAAATTTTGGTTGATGAAAAGTGCTTTTTATTGAGCTGCTATTCTGAATTCGACACGAATCGAGCAATTTGAAAGCCTTCCTGAGATGCAAAAAAATGAAAAAAAGCTTTTTAAAAATTAAAATTGAGGGATTGGATAAAAAAATTAACCAATTAATTAAACACGAATAAAATTTCTATCAAGAAAATTTATTAAAATCAAAGCGGAATCGTCAGGAGTTTCTCATCGTTTAACTAGATCCTCAAGCAATTACGATGAAATCCCATAACGAGACAGTTACTTGAAATACATGGAAGCAATACGTCCACTCGACAAAGAATCAGTCCTTTTAACGACATCTTATAGGCATCCTTATTCAATCAGAAGCCGGACGCAGAAAGCCGAGAGATTATTGTTTCAAGAGTGAAAAGCTCGAATCCTTCCTCACGCAGGAGTAGACCTATCACTCAAAAAGCCGGATGGTGCTAGCGACCAATCAGTATTTTTGTCGGCTCTCTCGCAAAAATCCCTCACTTACTTGCTTCTTATTTGTTTCGTAATTAATGCAAGAAAAGAAAATGTTTATAATTATCAATACTCAGATATTAAAATCGCGAGCGTACTTTCTTCAACCGATTTCTTTTTTCCTAAGAATATATCGAAAGAGATCGTATTCTATTTCGCTTGCCTTCGAGAATTTTTTAGGAGCGCTCACCGCTGCTGGCTAAGTTCGGCTCATACAACTAAATTAATTTCGCTGGGAAGTCACTTGGCGAAGAACTACAGGAGATTCCCCGCATTGTTCTTAAAGAGTAAACATCCAAGCACTACAGGAGGTTCCCCGCATTATCCTTAAAGAAATACGCTTTTCTTCTTTTGTTTTGAAGAATTCGGTTTTTCGTAAGACAATTTTAAATAAAATTGTCTTTTAGAATTTAAAATTCAAAGCATATTTTTATAATAAGAATCTAAAAAATGAAAAAAAAAATTATTGAAATGGTGAATTAAAGAAAAGCAAAAAGTAAGTAAATGAGCGTCGCCTAAATGGCTGCTAGTAGGGTTAGAAATTTTTGCCGAAGAGTCAATTAGTAAGAGATGGGTTTCCATTCACTACTCGGGTTTTCAGTGATTGGATGTTCACTCTTTGTCGGATAAACATCTAAATGGTTCTTTAGCCGATGATCTGAATAATTAATTTGCCTCAAAAAATATAAAAAATGAGAAAATCAATGAAAAAAGCCTAAAAGCAAACAATTCAGAAAAAATAATTGTTGATTTCATTTAAAAAATGAATTATCGTAAATTCATTCTGCAAAAACCAGCCAACTGCCAATGGCGAATTATTCAGACGAATTCCTTTTTTTTTAAATTCCATTTATCACAATTCGTTGAAGATTTCCTCGATTCATTTATTTACTATTTATTTTAAAATGTAACGTTATCCAGGAATCAGTATGTCTCTGGTAGGATTAACTTTTCATTAAAAGATCTGAGCAGTGTTGGCCACCCTCCTATACTTCTTTCGCCAAGTCGTTTCCTGATAAAAATTCCTAAATTCACTTACAAACAGCTGAACTGGTCTAATCAAAAAAATGAAAACTAATCATTTATTTACTTATTTAAAAAAGAAAAATGAATCGGTGATTCTTTAAAGAAAAATGGAAAAAAAATATTTTACAAATTGCGTTTAATTAGAAGAAATTAAGAAAAAAAAAACTTGAACCTTTACAAATGAATAATAATTTAGGTAATTATGGAAAAGAAATTTTAATTTTTTGAAATTTCAAATTCTTATTCGATTCTTCATTTCTGCTTTGACTGCTGTTTATTCTGAAATTATTGAGATGAAGTCCAGAGAATCATCTAGGAAAGATTTGCCCTCAGAACCACTAAAATTTCATTCTGAATGAATGATTTGACAAGCGAACTTATGGTGATAAGTCACAGGTGAAGCAATAAACTAACTTACGGAAGCGAGAGCGTTTTCCGCCACCCCCCTCCCCCCGATTTATTCGTTTAGGAAATAAAATTACGAATGTCACGTGCTTAATGGAATTTTAAAGTTTGAATTAGTTATTTTTAAAAGAACTGTAAAAAGGGAAAACGGATAATAATGGGAAAAATAAACTGAAAAGGAAAGAAATTTTTTGATTGACTGCATTAGCCAACAGGGTAAGTTTTGTGCTTCGTGAAATAACCCATGTTTGAGGGAACAAATGGGAACAGTGGCTTCCAGCACCACCCTGAAATTGTGAATTAGAAGGCGAATGATGATCATAACTTATAAAATCTGCGAAAATTTTCCAAAATTTCCGTGTGAATTCATTACTGTGCGATAATAACAAATATGATAATAATAATAAAGCAAAGCAAGTAAGTAAGTTATTAAATGATAAGCAATCATTTCTCTTCGCAGTCGTTTGTCTAGAAAACTAAGTGTTTCGTAGATCAGATAGTGAATTTATTTGTTTTTCGTATAATATTACTTAAATAAACACGATAATAACGACAAATATAATATGAAAGAGGGGAGGTGAATTTTTACTTACTTACCGTGCAAACAAACAGAGATGAAGGATGAACTCCATCGATCCTTTCGCCGATTCAACCTTCAATGCAATCTTAAACGCTATAAGAAACTGGAAATAGAAACTGTATATGTGAACTTATAACAAATGCAGTTACTTAGGCAAGCATATTTCCTTCACATGTGCTGGCCACGCATCTGTATTCCCATCGCCCAGAGAACAGATTTCATGGCAAATTTCCCGAGCTGGCAAACCGGACTCAGCGCAGCTAGCAACCAGAAATGAAGAGCAGCACAGCCTTACTTTTCTTAGCACTTACTTATCTGCTTCCAGGCGAGTTGCCTAACAGAAATATTTCATTTGAAATAAAAGTTTTAATTAAGCTGAAAAATTTAGGGGATCGCTTGCGAGTTTTTATAGGTTTATTTGAACTTTCTTCGCTTCTTTAATTTTTTTAAATTTCAATTTGCTTTTTCAACTTTGAAATTCCCAACTTTTTTTCATTTCTTTCCAACATTCCTCCATTTTCATTTAGATTTTCTTGTTGAAAATTAATTATTAAGTTATCCTAGAAATTTTTGTCGTTTATTTTGTAAGACCATAATTTTATTGAAAATCAGTATTTTTACTCGACACAGATCTCGCTGCAGTCAATCAGTCAACTCTTTTATTTGCATAAAAGACCGAGTTTTTGAGATCAATGAACTACTGGAAGGTGATTCCAATGTGATTTTTCTTTCCGGAAGTATTTCTTCTTGATGAAAGTATCGAGGAAGAAATGGAAATCTGCTGACGAAAGACCTGGGAAATAAGGAGGATGAGGAAGAACATTCGATCCGACAAATTTTTGGAAAGTGATCTCTATGGCGAGCCAACTGGCATTTTCTTGCAAAATGATAGGACCTTCTCTGTTGACCAGCATTTTATTATATAACTATGTTGTAATCGCTACACCAGGTTCTAAGAAGTTATAGTGGATCACTCCTGCAGCAGAACACAAAATAATAAGCACAGCTTTCTTCAAGGGGATGTATCGAGGGAGTTCATCCTTGTCCAGTCATTCCACTGATCTTTTCCTATTGTTGTACAAAATCCATTTTTCAGCGTGAATAAAAATCGAGAATCGAGAAAAAATCGAGAAAAGAAGGTTTCAGCAATGCAAGTTTTAGTCAACATATTTCCAAACATACTCTCATCTAATGCACAGTCATTTCATACATATGGTACCCATTTGCCAAACTTCTTGTCCATTGCACCTCTCTAGGCGATTCAAAATGGCATCATTTGAAATTCCAAGCTTTTCTGCAAAAACTGCGCAACTTTTTCTGGAGCTGGGCTCCGCTAATTTCTTCAAAGATCTGTCTATGGAATTTTGGAATTGTTCGTGAGCAATCTTCGGAACCCATATGTTCGGGACTGAAGTTCATGAACCGCCTTATGCTCACCTTTGTTTACGTGCATCAAAAGCCATTTGCATACTGCAAGCTATATCCATCGCTCAGTGTCATAATTTAAGTTCAAAATGCTGCTTCATGTCAAATTTGGCGCACAAATTACCAAAAAAAAATGAATCATTGCTGCATGAAGAAAATGAAGAGAAAATAGAGACAGACGATGAGCGAAGCGATTTACGATTCGTTGGCCAACGTGGAATGACAACAGAAATATGCGGGCGCAAATCCAGAAAGCCGAAAAAGAAAGAACTTATGGGATAATCCAACATTTTATGAAGAACTAAACGATCGGTCGCCAACGAATTTCAATAATTTCGAGAAAATTTCTTTCGATTCAGTATAAAATTGTATTTTTGGAAGAAATTACTTTTAACTTTTTTAATTTAAATTTTATAATATTTGAAAGAAACGAATTTGCTAAAATCTATAAAATTTATATTTTAACAGTGATTCATCAGTTTAACATCAATTCTCGTTTATTTTTACGATTATCGAATGAAAAAATAGCGCAAAAAATTTGAAAAATTTGGGATTTTCGTAGAATTTATTTGAATACATAATTACTGAAAAATCTTTTTAATGTAATTTACTCGATTTATTTATTTACATCGATATTAAGAAAAGAGAAATTTGCAGTTTTTATAAGACACTTATAATGATCGATAAATATTTAGATGAAATAATTAATTAATAACAATAATTAATGAAAATAATTAATAATAATAATAATAATAATAATAATAACGATTACTCTGCTCTAGCGCCGTGCAATAATAGAAAAAAAAAATGAATCAAAAAGATCTCAAAAAAGACACAAGCGTAAGCCATGTCAAAGGTTAAAGGTAAATATGTAAATTAATAAAAAGAATAAAGTTGCAAATGAAATACATATATATTTATGAAATAGAAAATATATGAAATAGAGCAGCAACGACGACAACTTTGAAAGACATGTTAAACGACGTATGAGAATTTGTGGAATATTTAAATAATAAATAAGACGGAGAGAAGGTTGTGAAATATTATGATAGCAGAAAACGAGGAAAATGGAAAAGTAAGGGAAGGCAGACGTGCGAAAGCTTCGCCAACGGGTCAGAGGTCAGTGGGAATGAGTGGTGAGCGCGATGATGGATACGGTGCGAGGTCTTCATTGAAGATTCTTCAGGGAATTGATGAGAGACGCCGACCTCGAGATCAACCGACCGAGAAGCGGCGAATGCATAAGCGAGCTTCGATGCCTGCTTGCAACTTTCGATGAGTCCTCTTCGCCCCACTTGAAATTCATTCATCGAATGCTTTTGCAAGCTCAGCCTACTCTTTTACATTCTTTCATCTTAAAATATATATGTCAATATATCGATCCACAATTTTCATTACTTTTACCTTTAAACCCTTCAACATTTCGTACTTTTCCATATTCCATATTATACAATTGTTTTTTTAAATCCTCGGTACAATTCTTTTTATAGGTATGAAATTATGAAATATTAAAGTAAATTTTTAACAGCACTCACTATTTCTGTTTGTACTCTGGCTTGTCGCACGACAAATAGGCCAGGGGCTCCCTAGGTAGGTTACTGCTGTCGGGAGTAGGGCCTCGGCATCGGCGCTCATTATTGAGCTCTCCGTTGGGCTCTGCCGCTAGACGAAGAGTGGTGCGTCGGTTGGATTCGAGCACAAGCTCGACTCTCGCGGCGGTTACCTTCGCACTGAGTCGTCAGTTATTTCCAACGCAAAGTTCGAATCCTCCTTCGATCAGCATTACGAATTTATTTGCGAATATTAAACTGAAACGTTTCAACGAGAATGCTTCGATTAAACTCGCCATCGCAACCTGGAATAGCTGCGATTTACGAGTGCCTAAACGTGCGTTGCACTACATGCTGGTCGAATAAAATCAATCGTCAAAAAATTTAAAACCGACTTAAATAAAATTTGAAAAGAATTTTAAATGAAGCGAGTTGCTAAAATATCCTTTAAAAAAAGTTAAAAATAACACTGACTGATGGATCGGTAATTACGAAGGGAACGATAGGCGAGTGGGAAATGATCGCTAAACGTAGTTGTTAGTTAGTTGTTGTTATTATTACTCATTTAATTACTGCTTCTTACATTCTTAATCAGTTATAGGCCATTCGAATGCGCTTTCTTCGATGAACGAAACTGTTTCTTGAATAAAAGAAATCTTGCAAAAGGTTGAATGATTTAAGTTTAACATTTTTTCTGAGAAGCAATTCACTAAATTGGTTTTTCCTTCCACTACTAGCAACATTCATTAGTTGTGATTTGGCCGATATTAGGATCAGAGGATGGCCAGAGAGTTATTTGGTTTCATTTTCAATAACTCTCATTTACTCCTATCAAAAGGCAGCAATCGAACCCTCTCAGTCGAAACAGCATACTACTTGATCATCTCACCACTACTCACCGATTTAATTAAAATGGAAGGAAATTTTTATGGTTCAATATTTGAATATTGATAAGGGAAAGATAGAAGCAAAAATAAACAGCTCCACACTTTAAAAAATAAACTTAAATTAAACACAAATTTACTTTGTTCGAGTTAGAATTCAGCAGAAGACACAATAGTACGCATTCGTTCAATAATAATCGAGGTATTTCTATTTATTCATAAAACTTCTTGAAGCAAGGAGAAAACCAGGTTGTGCTTGGCACCTTATCAGCGTTATCATCCTTATCATCGCCTGCATTTAAATTAAACTCACTGCTCTATTGCATTTTTATGTATATTAGATAATATAAGACATATTTAGAAAAAAACCATCATGCTACTTCAAAACAGTCGGTCAGCTCGAAATCATCAAAAAATTCATTAATATTAAAATCAAAATTTCAATCTATGAAATCCTGAAAATCTTGAAATCATCAGAATTCATTAAAAAACCAGTGAACCCGAAAATGTTATCTGCCAACAAAAGTCACTGAAAATTTTACGATTTATAAGAGATCTTATTTCACTAAAAATTCTGAAAATATGAAGGTAGAACCTTCAAATTAATTAATTATATCGAATGATAAAGCCAATAAAGCCAATGGAAGCCCAATTGATCCAGCAAGTTCTATTCCTGAGTGAGTGAGTTTCTTATTCTTTATTTTTACTCAATGGAACCAACCGAAGCAGAAATGCTGACTACCATTTGAAAAGGAGAGAAAATGACCAATAAGAATCTCAAAAAAAATTTTTATGAAGAAAGAAATATTTAAAGTACTTTTTTGCATCAAAAATAATTATAAAATCATTAATAGAAAATAATATTTATGAAGCGATGAGCATCATTAGACAAACATTATAAAGCAAACAAAGTAAAATGGATGTTCGAAGCAATTTTTTATTTTTTATATTGTGAAGAGGATAACCGAGTAGCGGATTTCGATTATCGCGTAAAGAAAGACAGTGATCGTAGAGAGAGTGAATTTGCGCCCTACAGGAAAAAATTCTCAGTTTGATGGTGCTGGCGGAATGACCCTCTTGCTAATATCCCAGTAACAATTTCTAACCATAGCGATGGCCAGCGGATTAAATCAGCAACCAGAAATGGTGAACACCATTCATTTATTAACTTATTTGTTGTTGCAAAATTCCTTCCTTTAGCTGCAGCTCTACTGAACGTTTTCCTAAAGATTGGCAGTATATTTGGGTTTGATAGATTTTTTTCTGCAGTAATAAGTAAGTTAATTAACCAATTAATGCCATCTATATAATCCAAACGAAAAATAATATTTCGAAATAATACTCAAAGTAAATTTATTCCTCTAAAAAGATGAATAAAGAAGATGGTGAAATATTGAGAAAGCTTTGGAAAGTTCTGCCAGCGTGCGGCTGGCTTTTGCCAACATGCAATTCCTCTTGCAGATGACTGGTGACTCTCACTCTAGCCAGAGCAACCAACCAAATCACGAACGGTAAATGACGAACGGTTAAAGAACCATTTTCTGGCTTGAACTACTTCTGTTTAAAAAGTTTAAACAGTTGCTGTTAATGACCTTTTTTAAGTCACCGAACCTCCTAAATGACATGCAGAAAATCATCGAAATTTTGCAGCAAATTTAAAATTTTTCATCAATTCAACTGATTTCAACCGATTTCTGTGAACATCTCTCATGCAGTTAACATTCATAATATTTGAAGCACATTATATAAACTCGATCTGACGCATATCACACCTTTCGATGAAAAGGCAGTAGAACAATGCATGCTAAATTTTAATTATCGCGTAAATGGCTTTCGAACTTTAACGAAATTAGACATTTAATTTATAAACCAAAGCACAAATTGCACAAAACTTTTGTTTGGTATATTGAAACTTTTCTTAATTCAATAAAATGCCTATAAAATCCATCAATTGTCGTTGAAATTAAACTATTTCTCCATTGGGTTAGAATTTAATTCACAAATAAAATTTCTCGTTATTTACAAATAGATACACTACGTTCTTCAACAATTCTTAGAATTTCTCGTTATTTACAAATAGATACACTGCGTTCTTCAACAATTCTTCAAAAGTTTTTAACAGCAAGAATTTATAGCAAAAAAATGTAATTTTTCTTATTTCTATTTCTTAAAAAATTAACAAAAAAACTGACTAATTTTGAAAGTTCTACATGATGGATGAATGAAATATGGATGAAAATCATAAATTATTAATGAAAAAGTTTTTTTGTTATAAAGGATAATTAAGGATAATAAAATCAAGGATAGATATAAAGGATAGATCAATTCATAAAGAAATTATTTTCGTTTCTCGCGCGATGCCTGAGAATCAATATGTTCAAAGTATTTTCGCCCTCTTGATAAGAGAAAATAACTGATAAACAATGCCAAAAAAGACTTCAGCGCTACATTAGCTCTGTAAAAATGAAATTTATAAGATATTATTAAAACATTTTTTATTATCATTTCAAACATTGTAAATACTTCAGTTCATTCATGAATGTTTTTTACTGAACATCTTTATCAAATGTTAAAAATTTCGAAAAAAAAATTAATTTCTTTCGACAAGTTGAATTTTAAAAGTTTTTGAAAATGATATTTGAATAAAAAACATAAAAAAATAACAGTAAAAAAATGAACTTTCCTCTTTAAAAAAGTCCACAGAAAAATTACCTGGATGGAATAAAACCTTTCAACAGCACAGTCATTAATAAAGAACCAAAATTAAATAGGACAGTGGCAAAAATCGTATGTTCGGTGCGATCCACCCAACGAAATTCGGATAAATGAGGCCTCCCATAAATGTAGGCACCGATACCAATTGTAGAAACAATTAGTAAACCATTACTTACAGCTAAATCGTTCATCGTCCATGATCTTAAAAATTTTTTGATGAAAGAATAAAAGTTCATATTTTTTTAAAATTCGATAAAGTAAAGTAATCCTCTCAATTCAAAATATCAAAATAGTTTTATCTTTAAGTTATTCAAATATTTTCAAGCATAATTAATTTTCGTCACCGAACATTATCATGCCACCAAATGCAAAGTGCTAATTTTTAGGAACAGCGCACTTCCAGAACACTTCCACTTTTTTGGGTTCTATCTGCGACGCTTTTATTTCCTTCATTAAGCCATCCAACGAAATCAGAAGGCTTCCACAGCCCACTAGTTTTTTTTCAAACTTCTTTTTGCTTTCTTGACATAAACAACCATCTATAATTGAATCACTTTGCTATTTGTAAGCCTTCGGCCACTTTGAACTGATGAAAACTGCATTAATCAACTCTTCATTGACTTTATTGACCCTTGATTGATCGAGACTTAATTACTCGATTACTTAATTAATTATTGATAAGGCAGATTGCTCGTTCGGATCTCTTTTTTAGTTTTGCTATCATATATTAGCATTTTGCATTCATCACTTAGTGGCAATTTAAATGTTAAAGATTTGAAGCCTAGATCTCCTATAGATTTTCAGAATTTAACTTTCACTTTCGTTTCCTTTTATTCATGGAACCATGCTCTCAATTTTTCATGAAACAGAAAAGCGCTGGATCAAGTAATAAACAAAAAATTTCGTTTGAAACTTCTATTTCGCAGCCTCATTAATTAATTCATTAATTTGTTCAATCTGCCTCATGACATTTTATTGCCGCACTGAATCATATTTGTTATTGAACCATTTTTTATATCTATTTCTATATTCTTATCTATGTTTTTCGAAGAGCGACTTAGCTACATCTTTTTGCGACGATCATTTGTTTTAAACTGCCAAAATGCGCTTTTTCGATAATAAATTTCTTAATAAAATTTTTAATAAAGTATTATTACCAATCAAATCGCCAACAATATAACAAATATTATTTTATTTAGATAGATTTCATTTAGATAAAATATTCCACTTATTTCATGCAAACCATGAGAAATTTGCAAAAAAATCTAACCTAACAATTTCAGGGGATAAAACATGCATAGTAAATAATGAATGACTAATAACTCCACAAATTGGTGTATAATGATGCAGAAGTGTTTCCTTATTAAATGGTTGAAATAAATTTCTACAAAATTCTGCACAATTTCTCAGTATAACTGCCATAATCGTTAATCCTGAAATAATTTTATTGAAAGTTTTTTATTAAAAAATTTAATTTAATAAAATTTAAAATTTTATTAAAAAAACTTCGAAAAATTTATTACTGTATCAAAATTAAATCGACCCGCAACATTAGTTACGACAACAGCCAACAGTTATGGCATTAGCTATAGAGGCTTGCCATATCTAACTGGCAGCTATTTCGGCTTTGACACCGTATGCAAGTGAGTGATAAAATTAGTTCAAAAAAACCACTTATTATCGAAATGGCTTAAAAGAAATTTATTCAACGGAAAAGACGAGTAAACACGAAAAAATTAATGTTAGTTCCCGTATCTAGTCGGATACGCAAACAGAATCTTCGCATGCGTTTTTTTTTTCTTCCTTTCTACACAAATATTCAATTTTAACCGAGTTTTATGACCAAATTAATTCCAGTTGTGTCTTTAAAAACACTCTCTATATTTCTTCAACAGCTTTCTCAAAATTTCTAAAGACAAATTTATAGATGAATCTGGCTAATTACTTATTCACTTAATGCTTAATTTGACGCACATTAACGATGCGTTTTGAGAAATGTGAACACGCAAGTGCACTGCTCGATTCGTTGGATCCGAAGAAAAAGAAGAAAGGACTGAAGCAGCATAACTAACCAGGAACGACGGCTAAAACCACCAACGAAACTGGAAAATTAAAGTTTTAAAAAAGATTGGAACTAAATTAAGTGGGAGAAAACCCGCTTCCACCATTTCACCGCAAAACTCAGTCCGAAAGACCGAATTTGCATGCAGTTTAAGTGGCCGCTTGTTTAATTCACAAGTGCATTGACTGATAACAATCGAATTTCGAAATTTTTTTAAAAATCACAGAAATTATACAATCAACACAAAAAAGAAAATTGCGGCAATCGAAATCAATTTTTAATACGGGAAGCTGCAATATAGCAATACCAAAAGTACGACGTTTCTTGTATTTCGCAGCTTCAGCTTCAGTGGTTAGCTTCGATAATCAGATGGTGCGGGCCGATTTATCAGGCCTCGTGAGACTGGTATGGATCTCTAGTTCGGGCTCCGTTTGCTGTTGCGAGGTGGGGTGATTCGGCTTCATTTTGGGTTTTTTTCCGTTTGCATTTTTCTAGGATTTTTGGCAGTTTTTTCATTTTTAATTTTCCTTATTTTATTTTTAAACGTGAACGGCGATTTTTTTTGCGCTAATTTGCTTACGAGTCAGTTGAAGGCTTCGCGTTTCTTTACGGTTTTTGCGAATTCTGTCGACCTGCTCCTTGCCACATTAAATTTTTATATTTTTAAATAAATGATTTTTTATTATTTGTATTAGAATGAAAAATTTGTGGTCGGGATATGAAGAAAAAATAAAAGCAAATTCGTCAAGTATTGTTGTACAGGTGGATTCTTATAAGAATTAGTGTTTAGCAGTCGTTTTCGGCTGGGCTTAGCTATCTTTTAACAGGATCAAACAGATGGGCAGAAGAGTTATTTGGAAATGAGTAAAAATGCCGAAACCCGATTTTTAATAGCAGATTTGCCCTTATAACAGCGTACCGCTGCTTGAGATATTGATTTCAAAACAATATGCATTGTGAAAAATCGACGATGATGCCACTTTTCCAAGATACAACAGTTTCTTTTCTTACAACAATTTCCAGATTTTTTTCCGAAATATATACGTTGAAAATTAATATCTTCTCATATATATATACGTTAAAAATAATAATTAATTCTCCCTTATAATGGAGATTTTTTTTTAAAAAATCTTTTTATCGTTGATTTTAGTTTTTGATGAGAAACTAAATTCTATTTAAAGTAATAAAATATGCTATTTAATTTTTAAGAGAGATCTTATTCATTTAATTTCATTTTTTGGAAAAGCTTGGGTTCAGTTTTTCTGAGACTTTTTATTTATTTTTATTGTATTTTATTTTTTTGCATTAATCTTGTGTTTTGCAGATTTTTTTCTAAAATGGATTTAAAACCAAATCATACAATTTATATAAATAATCTCAATGAAAAAACAAAAAAAGAGGGTATATTTTTTCTACAATTCACATTTTCGTTTTATTTGTTTTTTTCGTTTTTTATTTCCTTCGTTACTTTTTCCCTATATTTTTCCTTATTTTTAGAACTAAAAAAAGCATTATATGCAATTTTCTCACAGTTTGGGCAAATAATCGATATTTTGGCATTTAAAACTTTAAAAATGCGTGGTCAGGTTAGTTTTCGCTTTCGTATGCTTTTTTTAAATTTAAGATTTTTTGTATTTTTAGCGTATTTTTATTCATATTTTTTTCTTTTTATTTATTTTATTTATTTTCGTTCTTTTTATTTATTTTAATAATTTTATAGTAATTTTATAACGATTAGTAACTATTTTCTATATTTTTTTCGGTACATTGTAACGAAAGCGATCATTATTTTTTTCAATTAAAAAAGGTTTTCAATTTTGATTTTGATTTGTTTTAATGAATTAATATTGAATATATTTCCTTTCATATTATTAAAATCAACTGACATTAAGTATAATAAAAAATAGAATTAATAGTTTCACTAATAGCTTTTTTTTTTTTTAAGGCGCATGTTATATTCAAGGAGATCAGTTCAGCAACAAATGCTCTTCGTGCTATGCAAGGATTTCCTTTTTATGATAAACCAATGGTTAGTTATTTGCTTGAAATTTCAAAATATTTCTATATATTTCCTGTTGTAAAGCGGACTATATGATCGAGTTGTTTCGACTAGGATCAGCTATGATAGGTTCATTGTTAGCAGCAGATCTGCCAATATAAATGAAAAACGGAGGCCGAACATCATTTACTTATATCCTCAAATAATAACTAGTGACCATCATCCTAATAGCCAGTGGAATTAGAGCAGAAATATGGATGCTATTAATGCTAATCCTTTTTTCGCCATCGGTTTAATGAATTTGCTTGAATGAGGCACTCCAAATACTTTTTGATGAAATTATTTTTCACTTAAAATATTTAAATTTTTGGATTTTATTTATTTATGGATTTCTTATTTATGGATTTTATTTTTATACTTTAATATATATTATTTTAATAATTTTATATGATTGTTAAATTGTTAAAGTTGTATTTCTAATAGAAAATATTTATCAAGCATTATAATTTGACTTCTGACATTTTTCTTTTTAAAAATTTATAATAGGTTTTTTTCTCAATTATCCATATTTTTATTTACATAGTTAGAAATTGAGGTTTTTCATCATGTTACTCCATTTATATTTTTGTTAAAAATGCTTCCCATAATAATTTCTGAAATTTTCTATACATTTTCAGAGAATCCAGTTCGCTAGAGAAGATTCTGATGTAATAGCAAAGGCTAAAGGAACATTCGTTGAAAGGCCCAAAAAACATTCAGGAAGTCGGGTCGGTGAAAAAAAGAAAAAAGTTGGTCAAACAAGAGATACTAAAAAAGTGAATTATCGTTTTTTTAGGGAATATATCGAATATGTTGTATATACTTTTTCGAAAAATTTTTAATGGAATTTTAATTTTATTTGAATTTCTATATGGCTTTATAATTTTTTGATGAATTTGCTTGAATGAGGTACCCCAAATATTTTCTGATGAAATTATTCAAATTTTTAGTTGAATTTTTAAATCTTTTTATTTATTTTTGAATTTTATTTTTATATATTGTAATTTTAGGCCCGTGCGGACAAAAATGGAAATACAGGTAATGGTATTGCGGAGAAAGCAAATCCTCCGAACAAAATTCTTTTTTGTACAAATTTGCCTGAGGAAACTACGGATCAAATGTTATCACTTCTTTTTAATCCGTTAGTTTGTTTCACATTTTATTTATTTACAGTAAGGAGAAAATTTTGGTTTTTCATCTTATTTTAAAATTGCTGCTTTGTATTCGATTCAATACCGCTTTATCTCCATTCATTAGATTGTATTCCAGAAGCGATAAGAATTTATCGAATGCATCGAAATTAATTGTACCTTTATCTTAAAATATAATAATATTTTTAGAAATTTGTTTTGGATTTAATATTGTAAAAAACTTTTTTAACTCAGAGTTTATCTTTATTTTCATATCTTTATCATTTATTTTAGATTCCCCGGCTTAAAGGATATCCGACGTATTCCGAATCGACCCGATATTGCTTTTGTTGAATTTGATACTGAAGGACATGCAACAGCAGCACGTGATGCTTTAAATAATTTCAAAATTACGCCAACTCAGTCAATGCTTGTAAACTATGCCAATAAATAAGAAAGCAAGATCTCCACTCGTTCATAATTATTTTTTTTTCGATAATTTGTTATCATTGCTTTGGTTTTTTTTTCATGATTTTTAACAATAAATTTTTTTGCCTATTAGTTCTGAATGAAGAATTTCATGTTTGTCAGCATGTTTTTTTTCTTGGTTCTTTTCAAGATAATATTTTATATATTCATTTTTCAATGATATTGATATTAAAATGTTGAATGATGTATGTTTTACTTGAAAATTTTACATTTTTATATTTTTATCGTTTTATCAATTTATTTTTAAGTTAATGACAGTGGGATTTTATATTTTGATATGGTTCCTCTCATTACTAAGGCTAGTCGGGATATCATATTAATTCATACAAATGGCGTTGGTAATTTTATTTTTTATCTTATTTTTAGATAAGTTATTTCGCTATTCATTTACTGAAAAGAGGTTCCTGGCAAAACGGAGAGCCTAAGTATTTCAGAATTAATCTAAAGGAATCTTGTTTTCACTTATTTCTTGATTATTTTGTTGTGTTTGATGGCAGCTATATTTCCAATATTGAAATCAACTTCATTTCTACGCCTTTATTGGTTAGTTTGCTTATTCATTCTGATTTATTTTATTAAAGGGGGAATAATATGAAAAAAAAATTTAAATTTTATTAAATATCAGAATATTCGAATAAAACTAATTAAATATCAAATATGAATATTAGAAATTAAATTTTTAGAATTAATTTTATAGGATAGATTTTAATGACTTTTATGAATAAATCCAGTAAATTTTTGATAACCTTTGTAAGTTTATCTAGTTGTAATCGGTTCTTTCTTTAGACACTTTATATTACCAGATCTCTTAATTTTTATTATTCTTGTTATTCTTAATATTATTTAATGTAAGGATAATGTTGCTGATTGTTTCTTCTGTAAAGCAATATGTTCTCTTACATGTTCTGTTATCTATCTCTTGGCGAGAATAACATCTAGTTAAAAATAATTAAAATTAAAACGCGGAATATGGTATCGCGAAATCTTTGTCCGCAAGTACCGTCGAGCGGAATGGATTTATTCGATAGAATCAGTCAAATCGGAACTGATATTTGTAAAAGAAGGAAGGGATCATTTTATCATTTATTTTAAAAGTTTTTATCTTTAAAATAGTAATCATTTCAGCAAAATTATACCAGATTGTAGAGAAGCAACAGATTGTTGGAAATGCAAAAAGATTGTGAGCTGTTTAAAGGTTATTTCAATTACCATAAATTTTATCATAATGGGTTATTCATTTCACAACAGTGGCTTAGCCCATTTCTATATTCTTCACGGTTCATTCGATTTCTATTGTTTTTGTTATTATTATTATTATTATTATTATTATTATTATTATTATTATTATTATTATTATTATTATTATCATTATTATTATACGTTTAATGGCGAAAAATTAAAGGTGCCAATCGATCTTTGAGAGTCTGAATTTCCCTTGGTCCTGATTTTAACTCATGTTTAAGTAGAACAATTTTTAACAGCTCTGCAAACAAAATTCAAAAACAAGACAAAATTTTCATTTTATGCAAATTTGCTTCAGAAATAGTTTATATATTTTATTTTAAAGAATTTATTAATTTCAACTAATGTTTTTATAAATACACTCATAAAATTTCGGAATAATAACGAAGCTCATTCGTGGTAGGATTTGAACCCTCAAGTTTCAAATATTAAGAGTCCAACGTTACATCCATCGCAATATTACTCTTACAGTATTCATTAAATAATTTGTCGTCCTAATTCCCTGTTCTAAAGTTGCAGTAAAATTTTTAATAATCTGCTTGAATTTCGGAAAATAAATTTTTTATCTGTGGTTTTCACATTCACATGCCCTTTACTGTCGACCAATGTGAAATATTTCATATTTGGAGTAGGCTAGGTGTAATGGGCTGCCAGAAATATTTGATATACTATCTTGCATATTTTACGATAAATGATTATAAAATTGAAATTTCCCAGGGTCTATGGCTTTAACCAAAGTTATTAAGTACTCTTTTTAAGTATTCTATTAAGTATTAAGTACTGCTCGATACTCTTTAGAATCTTATCCATGTTAGTTTACTTCTGGTTGATTTATTATTGACGTATTTCGGACTGTCTCAATATTCCTGCGCAAACTTGGAGTGTTGCTTTTAAAATTAAGAAATATTTTAATAATCTGCTGGAATTTCAAATTTATTTTAACAAATTTTTCAGGAAAACTTTTTTTGTCCAATGTGTTCAACTATCCAACCAATTGAAGGTGATAATTATTTTAAACAACTTGGTATTCAACCATCGTTCAATATTGATATTAATATTCTTAAGCGTAATTTTTTGAAATTACAAGCAAAAGTTCATCCAGACAAATTTGTTCAGTGTTCGCCGGTATGTTACGAAACTACTTTCAAATTTAATCAGGCATTATTAACATTTCCAGTTTCTTTAGAAGCTTATTTGGTTAAATAAAATTTAATGCACAAAAAAAATTGCTTGGCTATTTGATCCAATATGATACTGAATTTTTAATCCGAAATGAACAGTAGTAGAATCAGAGGAGAGAGAAAAAGAACACGTATTATTACAGAATTCTCATGAAATGGACAAAATGGACAGTTAGTGTTGTCCTATACTTATTGCTAAATGGCATAGAAGAGAATATAGATGAAATTGTGATGAATGGTATGTATGGAATGGTTGTGATGATGAATAGCATCTAATAATTTACACCATATCATATATAATATCGGGTAGTTTCCATTTATAGCACCAAGAAACAGAGAAAGTGGGAAATAATGCGTTTGTTTGGAGTTTATTTCAAGCATTTACAAGCATTTAATTATGTCCATACATAAATGACTTCTGATTATTTCATCATATATATATATATCTTTTCCTTTATGCGTAACAATATTTATTCATTAATTCGGCTTATGCGGCTGAAGAAATTGAGAAAAAGAAAAAAAGGAAGAAGAAAAAGTAGGGCGTAGAAGTACTGTTGCTTTTTTTGTGAATTTTTTGTGAATCTATAAAATATGAAAAAGTTGTTTCGAAGTATTTTTCGATTCAATTTGAAGCGCAAATCATAAGAAATGGTTATCTTTAAAATTTTCTTTTTTATATATAGGTAAATGAGTTTTCTTAACTCAATTCTTTTAGTATTTTAATCACATTTTTTTCTAGGAAGAAAAAGATATATCTGAGATTTGTTCTCGATATCTTAATGATGCTTATCAAACACTTACCCAACCCATTCGAAGGGCTAAATATTTGTTGCAATTAAAGGGACAAACAACTTCAGGTTTTTTTTGGACATTACGATTTTGCATTTCTACATGTTATCTTTTATTCATTATAGAACAAACAACAAAAGATGGGTCGTTTTTGGTTGAAATGATGGAACAAAACGAATTGGCTGATGGACTTCAAAGTGAAAATGATATATTAAAAATGTTATCGGATGTTAATGAAAAAATTGATGTTTTATCCTCGCTGTTTCAACAATATTTTGAATCAGAAGATTATATTCGTGCAAAAAATATCCTTTTAAAAATGACGTTTTATTACCGGTTAAAGACTAATTTAAGTCAAAAATTAACTCTTGTCTAAAGCTGGAATTTCGAAAAAAAAAGTTGTAAATTTTGTAAATAAATTATTTCATAAAACTTTTTTCTAGTTAGCAAATTAAGGATTACCAAAATAATAGATTTGTCCAGCCTTTAATTTTAACGAATCTTTCAGTAAATATGTGATCAAAAGTTCCAAAGGTTTGGTCTAATAATTTAATAATAATTATCTAATAATTTAAAAAATACACCTCGGATGATCAAACACAGGTAGGAAAAAAAATGAAAGGTTAGACAACCCGTATGAAAACAATAAGCAAGTGAACAATTATTATTAGGAAGTATTAGATGAAAGCTGAGAAAGATCAATAAAACCAAAAGAATATTAAGCCCAAATTCCTTCGGCATCATCGTCCTGCAATGAAAATTTCAAGGGTTTTTAAAAAATTAAAAACTAGGAAATTAAGAAATCGTTTCTGAAATGTAGAAAAATTTATTATTAAAATCAAACTAACTTGATCGACTGAAGAAATCGTAGAAAGATGAGATAAATGCGCAGCGACAGCTGGTGGGACACTTAGCGATGATGCAGTGCCAATTGGGGTGCCTCGAGTTGGTGCAGAATGAAGCGCAGTTGTGGAAGAACTTTGCTGAACAGGTCCTCCAACTGGAAGAAAAAAAAAATTTGTCACCCAAAAATAGCAAAAACGTTTACATAAAGAGGGCTAAATGCGGTAAACAAATCGCTTTATGTCTATCATGAGATAAAAACGTATGCATTTTCTTTCATGAATATATCTAATCTACCTTTCATAGCTTATATATAAAATTACAACTATCGATGGCCAAAACTTCCATTTATCATTGAAATAGGTCGTTGTTACTTTAATAACTTACTTGCAATATTAACTGTAGATGAGCTAAGAAGTTGCGCACGACGTTCATTTTCTTCTTTCAATTTTTCCATTAATTTTTCTTTATGATGACGAAGAGTCTCAATTTCATCGCGAGGTTTATCTCTTGATTGCTCTAAAAGCGCAATATGCGCATCTTTTTCGGCAATAGCAGCAACAAGCGCCTCATGCCTTCAAATTTTTTAACTCATTGCTTTTAATTTCTCTTGCAAATTTTTTTATTTATTTTAATAAAAGTTTTTATATTAAAAGGCATTTCTTATGGCAAAAAAATATCAAAATGATGAAAATTAGAGGAAATGACAAATGAATAAATGGCACTAAAATTAATAAACAAACTTAAACTGAAGTAACTGCTCTAAGTGCTGTCTTCGTTCCACTTCAAAACATCGCATCATTTCATCCTTGTCTACTGCCGTTAAATCTTTTAAATGTTTGCGAAGTTCATTTAATTCATGTCGAGCTTCTGACAACTATAATAGTTATATATATGTATATATATTCTCTTTCCACCCCCTGTGGGTAATATGAGATATTCTCAACTTCGAGTTCTCTAAAACAGGCGTGGAATCTCGAGGATAGGTAAGGTCTTGCCCAAGGACCACCGGAAAGATAGAAGATTGGCGGCTGCGATTCAAACTCTTGTTCTTGCATTCCATATTTAATTGCCTCAACCAATACGCAATATCTTCTTCTCCTTCAAACATCCATCATTACTGGTTGGGCTGGCTCCGCTGGCCACAAGGGTAAGACGTCTCCAAGCTAATCGATCAAACGCCATCATTGAGAATATTTGAGAAAAAAAATTCCTTTTTCCACCGTCTAAGTCCATATATTGCTGGTCCACCTATACGTTCAAAATCTCTACCAAATCTTAACCGTACCAGACCAGATCTTGATTGGACCACCTCGCTTTTGACGCCACACATCACAGCAAGTAACAAAATATGTGTCAATTCTTGTGGTGTACGACAGAGAACGTTCCCTAACCAAAAGGCGAGACTCCTTGATATTATTATTAATGCAAGTGGTATTTAAATGAAAGTGGACGCGATCATGTGAGATTTTATCCACTCAGTGAACCCCTAAAATGTACCTTAGACATATAGAGTCAAAGACAGATAATTTTAACAGTGATTTCAATGAATCCATAAAAGTTTCATTAATCGCAAGAAAGCATTTCTGACTACCATTATCCGGGTTGCAATTTCGTCTTTCGTTTGGCCATTTGGAATTAGAGTGGATCCGAGATATTTTAAGTCAGGCACTTCCTCAACCGGTAAAAAATTGATAAAATAGGTATTTTGCCAGCTTATTGATATAAGACGAAAAGATTTTCGTTTTATTTACACTGCTCCTGAGACTGATTCTCGCTGCAGTTGACAAATTGTTTGGTATTATTTGCATTTCGTCATAACTGTCAACAAGAGAAAAAAAGGAGTACATAATTAGCGTTCAAGGTCTATATTCTGCATATTAATACTATACTCTGAACTGATTTGTACATATATTGAGCCGATAATCAATGTCCATTATCCAATTTATCGCATAATTGAATATTGCAGAAGAAATGAAACAGCCTTAATGAATATCAATTATTTCTATTAGTTCCTCTATATACATGTGCCAATATAAGCTGACGAAATGACTTCATGAGTCGGATGATTTTCTCTAGAACACTGTTATATTTCATCAGCTTCCACAGCGCTGCTCTATCAATTAAAAGCATCTGCAAAATCGATAAAATAAGTGACGGTGGGTTGACGATATTTAAAATGACTTAAAGTGAATATCTGAACAGAAATTAGACCGCGCCCCAGTATGAAACCAGCTTAGTCAAAGTTATCTCGTGCCATAATTCTATTCAGTAGGATGGAAGCAAAAATTTTCCCGGAGGCATCTAGCAAAGATGATTTTCCTCGATAATTGTCACAGCATATTTTGTCACCTTATAGAAATTGAGAACTGCTTGTTTCAGTCAGTCTGGTATTATTTTTTCCATAATAGAAAAGCACATTTGTTGAAGATGTGATATGAAGGATGACAGATAACATTTGAAGAGTTCAGCCATGAGACCATCTTCTCCCAGAGTCTTATTGGCTTTAAACTTGTGGATATTTTCTCTCCTATTGGCGATTTGCAATTGCAAACGTATCGTCCAACGAGTGAATAAGTCATGTCAGGAGCAATAGATGGCGGATCATGGTTGATTTTGGCCTTGAAGGATTCTTTCCATCTTTGAGACGATCTTTAATAGCTTTAACGGGCACACCATTACCATTCCGTATCATTTCACTGACCGTTCTCCAAGTTATAGTTAGTATGAAGGCGAAATAATTTCCTATTCGCTTAATCAAGTAGCGATTTCTGTCCCGCCATGCTGCAGATGTAATTCTAGCTATAATTTTTCGATGCAACTGATAGTCAGGATCTCCTGACATTCGTACTTTGGCAGCCTTTTCAGACAGCTGTACAGCTGCTTCCGGTACCCAACTAATATACCTGCTAGTGTGGAAATGGCTGACTAGAGACATTCTTTTAGTTGAGACCAATATTCATCTCTGCGTTCCAGAGAGAAGTCAATGATGTTCATTTCACTGAGATACTTCAATAAATCGGTTTTGAAATGCGTTTATTATCTCGGAATCTTTTAGTTTGGATAGCGTTGTTTCTTGCGAGTTTAATGCGAATCTAAGCTCGAACCATAACACTGTCTGATCCATGAAGATTACCAGTTTCAGCACCTCGACAGGAACGATTATCTAATATGGGATTCTTCTGACGACTGATTAAGATATAATCAATCTGGTCAGAGTATTGGTTATCTGGAGAGTTCCACTTGACTAGAGAGTTCCTCTTCTACAATGCCAGAAGCATGTATTAACGAAAAGTCCGCAGTTACTGTTCGTAACGCAATATCTGCGCAATATAAAATGAAAAAATAAAGACTTGGTTTTACTGCACTTCAGCCAAAAATGAATTTACCTGCATTATGAGTTGTTGATTTATTTGCTTTTGTTGAGCAACATGTACCTCTCGTTCAGCGGTGATACTAACTGATTCACGTAAAGCTTCTTCAAGCTCTTCGACTCTAAAAGAAAAGCAGTATAAAATAAAATGATAATTCATGGAGGTATTTGCAAAAAAGTAAATACTGTGAAAAATAATTTATTAATAAAAAGAAAACAAAAGATTTTTTGACTTATTTAGTCGTTTCAGTAGTCTCTTAAAAAAATTATAAACCTATTTTTCAAAGCATCATCTGATGAACAAATCTTGGGAAGATCTATGCGATGATGATCAAATGACAAACATACAGCGCCATCCTTGGTATTTTCACCGAGTTTCCTGAATAATAAATCCTGAATAACCAAAAAGTTTCATTGCAAGGCAAACAATAAACAGTTCCACACCATTTTATCCAGTAATATAAGAATTTACAAAATGTTTTTATATTTAAAATAAATCAAGCGTTTAAAATTTAATAATGAGCAGAAATTGTAGAAGTATAAACACAAAAAATATGGATTTTTGATTTTTTTCATTATTAGCATATTGAGAAAAAAAGTATCATATTAATCAGAAATTACCATTCAATTATAGAGCAGAATTAAATAAATAAAATTTAAATTTAAATTCTGGTAATAGGAAAAAATATCTGAATAAATTTAAAAATTTACAAATTAACAAAAATGCATTAATACCCTTGCAACTGTTTACACTGAGAAACAAGAGAAGATTTTTCTTTTTCGAGATTTTGAACCATTCTAAGAAGTGAATCGATTTCTTTCCTTGCTTCCAGTATCTAAAATTTTGTAAAAAAAAATAAAAATAAACAGTCAAAATATTTCAGCAAAAAATCCTTATTCTGGACTCGCTGTAGAAACCTGTTCATCAATGGATTGTGACTGATTTCGATCATTTTTTGAGGCCAAAGAACATAATTGTCTGTCCAAATCGCCGATTTTTTCATTTTGAGATTCTAATAGAATTTGCCTGAACAATTAATAAAAGAAAATAATGCCAACTAAAGAAAAAACAGAAAAAGCGAAAGATTAATTAAGTCAAGCCAAAGAAAAACTCTATATCTCTAGTTAATAATGAACAGACAAACCTATCTGCCAATTCTTTTTGAAGACTTTCAATGGTTGAACTTAACTGCTTATTTTTCTCTTTAAATGTCTCAAGTTGTTCACTTTTCTCTTTTTCGGCATTACGACGAATCTCATCCATCAATGACTGCATTCGTATTTTGTCGCTAAATTTTAAGAAATTTTCATTTTATAAAAATATAAATTTTCTAAATTTAAAAAAAATGGCTTATTTACTAATTGTTTACTAATTATTTGTTAAACATTTTAATTATCATTAAGTTTAACACTAAGTTTAAGATTCTCAATACTTTTAGAAAAATCAAAAAAATTAAATCAAAATTTTCCAACGCAAAACGTTTTTAATAAAATTTCACCGATTTGCTTCTTCAATTTGCAGTTTCATAAAACGTTCCTGTTGAGCATCTGGAAGCGATAACAATTTTTGTTTCGTTTCATCTAATTCACTTTCTTTTTCACGCAGCATTTTTTCAATACCATCTAATCTTGCAATTAACTGACTTTGCCTTTGTTCCAGCGACTAAATTCCATTAAAACTATATTTCCCTTCTTATATAATTAATTTAATATATATATACTAATATACTAATATTAATAATAAAATAATACTATTTTGTTAAAAACATCAACTCATTCAATAGGTATAAATAACTGACAGATTAACAAACTAACTAAATAGTGACAAACCTTATTGGTTTCCCGCATATCAACCACTTGGTCTTTTGTTTGTTTTAAATCTTTGTTTAAACGATCACAAATTTTATCTTTTTGTTCAAGCTGATTATTTTTTGCCTCTAATTTTGCTCTCAAAGCTTCAATCTGAATGTCAAATCATATGATTTATTATTTGTATTTTTATAATAAATGAATATTGCTAAAAATTAAATCTTTTCTTGATGATTTGTACAGTTTGACAGTAAAAATTCAAAAATAAAAAAAAATGAAAATGAATAAGAATACATCGGACTGTAGCAAAGAGGAATGTTTTTCTTTAACACTTGCGGATTGTCGAAGTACTCCTAAATGCTTACGAAGTTCTTCGTTTTCGTCTAAAGCAGATTGTAATCGAGCCTGCACTGATGATAATTCTGTGCATCTTTAATAATTAACTAAATGACAAAAATGATCTAATCGAAAAGACTAAGATTAACCAGAAAAAAAAAAAACTTACTTTTGTGCCAATTCAACCTCACTTCGTTCCAGCTTTAATCGAAATGTATTCAATTCTTGGGAAGATATCGACTTATCAGTAAAATCACGAGGTTTATCTTTTTGGTTTAATCTTAATCTCGATATTTCTTCTTCAAGAGTAGCGATATGCCGATCCTATTTGCGGAAAAAAACCATAATAAAAAAAATCCATTGAAATTATTTGCAATTGATAAAGCTTTACTTCATTTTTCCGTTGAAAATCGAACATACAAGAATTATTGAATAAAAAAGGTAAAAATTATGGTATGCTTCAAAATCTTAGGTTCATTGATACACAAACCTTGCTAATTTTCCGGAATTAAAAAGAGAAAAATAAATTTTTGTCAAAAAATTACCTTAGCAGATTCAGTAGACTGAAAAGAAGATAGCTGAGTAATTTGCTGTTCCATTGAACGAATCTGTTGGTCGCGAATATTAAGCAATGATTCTAACTGATTACATCGTTTTTCTAATTCAGCAAATCGAGGACCAATAACTCCAGGATCACGTCCCAATTCATTGCTTTCCATACAACATCTTATCATTTCCTCCTTTTGCATCAATTCATATTGACAGTCTTCTAATTCTCGCTTTAAATCATCTAATTCTGCCATAGAAGAAGTGCCACTTATCTAAAAAAAAATATAATAATAGAAATACATTCGAATTTTTTTAACCGCATTTTTAAACCGAAACAAAATTTCAGATTTTTGACATATCAAAAAATTTCAGTAAACTCAATAAAATAAAATTTATTTCAGAATCCAGAAAAGATGAGTTTTCAGAAGAAAATTAAAAAATAAAATTCTTCGTGAAAAATTTCTTTAATGTAGATGAAAAAATAAACTACATTTCTCATAGCTATTTGTCGTTGTAACGAAGCTAATTTGGAAGATTCTTCTTTCCTTAATTGCCTTTCTCGCTTTAGCTCAGGACTCCAAAATGATTTTATCGAATTCATAGTTGAATTTAATTTTTGCATGGCATTTTCATATTCCTTCTTAAGAATTTCATATTCACGTTGAAACTGACTTTCAGTAGACGAAGAAGCATAAAATGCATCCGTTTTTGTTGGTGGTATTAAACTAAAAATTTATCATTCATACAAATGACCATTGAGCTCATTCCACAGGCTGTTGGTAGTTATTAGAAATTTTTGCCAGGGATTCATTTTGGAAAGGAATTATAGGTAAATACTCAACAACTCCGATTTTATAATAGCAGGTTTATCCTTATCGGATATAGGATCTGAACCTTGATGGCAATTTCGGCAATAGCTATTCGGTGGAATAGCCACTCTGATTCATTCAATCATTCAATGAAAAAATAAATTCGAAGAAAAACTTTACTAGATTGGTTGCTTCCAAAAATAAGAATTTGAATTCGTCGGATTCGATAAAGGACCAGAAATTAATTGCTGTGGATTTGTGCTGGAAACAGAAGTTGAAACATTTAATGGAGGCATCTGCCAATCATTATTCTCATAATCACCAACTAATTCCATACCGTCCAATGAACGATGTTGTCTATAAAAAAAAATACCATCAAATTAATATCAAAATGTATATAAATATTATATATTATATATATATATTAAAAAATTAACAAATGCAGCAAGAGAAAGAAGCTGATCGCTTGTTTAAATTTAAATCGAAAAAATAAAAGCAATGCGAAAAAGAAAAATTGCATTCTTCGAAAAGCCTTTTTTAGACGTAAAAATCCCATTAAAATATTTTATTTTCAGCATTGAAAAATAAAAAAAATAGAATCGTCTAAAAAAAAGTATAAAAGAACGGAAAGATCAATAGAAAAACAAGTACAAAATATGAGAATAGATAGTCAATAAAAATAAGATTTCAATAAAGCAAAGTTTTTGCCAATTAACAAAAGATAAAAAATTCGTAGCCATAGAAGTTCAAGTGATATTAATGGATGAAGACATCGATGACAATGATAATGAAAGTTTAAGAAATTTCATCAAAAAATAACATAAATTCAAAAAGTAAAATAAAAAGCAACGATGAACTAAAGTTTAAAAATGGCCCATTTTTTGCCTAAATGCATTTTTCAATCAATTAACTATTTAATGGATAATAAATTAATTTTTTTCTTTTTTGCTTTTATCGGATTCTCTAAGAACATATTACTAATTCGAAAATTTGAAAATATTTTCAAAAACCTAAAGAAGCTTTTTTGGCTTAATTTTTTTTCGTTTTTAGTCAAAGTCAAACATCTGCCAAATACCGTGAATAATGAAAAATATTGATAATATCCATCCATATTAGGTTCTTTTTCTCAAGGAACAATATCGGAGCGAACAGCTCATTTTATCGCGTTGAGATATAAGAATCCAAGAAATGGTCAGCGCCAACCATTTACTCTTTTACCCATCCCATACCCATTAAATTTTTCCAGCACAATTTTTCCACTTTTCTTTTTATTGTAAAATAAATTTTACAATAATGCAATCTCAAACAAAAGGCAATAAAATCTAATAATAAAAAGAAAAGTGCAAAATACAATATTTGTAGTTATTACAATAATTACAAAATTTAAATTTTGACAATACTAACAATAATAATAACTAATAATATAATAAATTTTATTATTAACACTAATAATATAATAAATTTAAATAATGATAATAATAAAAACCTTTGCAATGTTGTAAAAGCCTTCCTTTGAGGATTCATTGTTCCATTAAAGTTATCGAGAACGGAAGTTGGACCAACACTTCGACTACGATTTGCTGATGGCACTGCTGTTGTTGCCGTTGTTTGATATTGATAATTTTGCGAATAAACGTCGTAAGATAATAGTGATGATTGATTGTTATAAGTGTTATAAAAAGGTGGTCGTCGATGAAATCCTTCAACAGCACCACCACCAATAATTGGATTAAAGGCACTGCTATACCTATTAATATTAATATCTTTCAAATAAAAGAAAAGCCTACTAGAATAGGATTAAATCAGATGAATTTATATTTGATTTCTATAAAATAACTGTTATTTCTTAAACAAATTAAAAGCACCGTTTTTATTAAATACATAATCGGATTTAATTTGCTCTTAATCACAAAATTAGCCGTAAATCAATTTAATCTGCAATTATCAAATCCATAAACTTCTTCGACTTTCCTTAAAATCGCTTTTCATAAAGTTTTTGGCCTTTTTTTTATAAATAATAATCTATTCAGTGATCATTTCGAAAGACTTATAATTTTTAAGCATCAATCCATTTAAAAAAATACACATATAATATACATATTCGCATAATAGAACATTAAAATACCAAGGGATTGGAAAAAATCAGAAAATGATGAAGGATAGAGAAAATTTTGAACAGAAAAATTTTTAATAAAATATTTCTGCAAAGAGATTTCATAATTTTATGAAAAAGTTGATAATGATAAAATGTGAAATATCGAAAATATTAGAAAATGGCGAAAAATTCGAAAAAAGACTTTCACTTCTCAAATGATAAACAAATAAGAAAAAAGAAAAAAAAATTATTTTCGAGGAAAAAATTATCATATCAGCAAACATTGATAATTAACTTAAGTTTTTTTATTCTTTTCCTTGATAATAAATGAAAGATGCCGCAACTTTTATATTAAATTATTTAAAATAAATTCACAAAAATTTATACTTTGATTTCTACACAAAAATAAAAAATGCAAGATAACGCAGCAATGGTACAAACGTCGTCTGTTATTTCAAAATTATCACCATCCTCCCCTTCATCATTCTCATCACCATTATCATAACATGAGAAATTTATTCTCATCCGATGCTTAACTACGCTTTTCCCTATTGATCCATATTTATTCCTTATTTTCCCCTTATTATAAATGCCTTTTTCAATTATTGCTTTTAGTTTTACCTCCAATATTATTCCAAAATTACAAATTTCAAAATTAGGCAAAGAAGGCAAAAACCACACAAACAGAAAATACTCTATAAAAATTAACTGCTTAACTAAGAATAAAAAAATTAATTGCTTGACTTTATACTTTACTTTTCTATATAGCCAAACATGAAATTTCAATAAATCCCACTTTATATTAGTTTTCAAATAAGATTCTGGGATTTTAAATTCAAAAATTTCACAGAAAAAGTAATCCTTTCCTTCCCCTATAACGATAAAACGTTCTAAGAGATTCCATAGTGTTCGCAACTCAAAATCATTGATTTTATTCAATCAATTTATATATTCAGTGCTTGAAATTCTTGTAATATTAAACTCATTCCATCAATCATTCAGTGGATGCTTTTTTGAATTTTTTTAAATATGCAATAATTTTCCTTATTTTACCCATAAAAATACGATTAATGCAAATCAATTTACTCTAAAATAAAAATTATAGATTAAACGCATATATTTACTGAAAAATTCAATTTTAATTTTAGAGAAATATGCAAAAATTAAACAAACAATTGAACAAACAAACCTATTATCGTTCAAATAAACAGAAGAGCTGGCTGTATTATAATGATATGTTAAGGGCTGTTGATAAGAATCATCCATCTAATAAAATTATTTATCGGTGTCGTAATGAAATTATGAACACTTCATAAATTCGTTATGACTAACTATCACCACCGTAAATATTTATTTTCTTTCCGATTCATTGAAATTTTTTGGGTGAAAACTAAAAAAACAAAAACCTTATCAAAAAAAAAAGAAAATTCGTTTATTCTTTATTAATAATAATATAATATCCTTTAATGTCATAACGTCTTCTTCAGGCACAATTTTCAAAAACAAAGATAAGCGATATAATAAATTACCTAATAGAATACCATAAAAATCGTTTCATTTCAATATTTCCTTTCTTTTCGACAAGGATATTTCTCTTCGACCTAATAAACGTTTTAAGTATCAAATAAAAAGAAAATTTTTGAAAAATAAAATAAAAGATCCTTGAAAAAATTTTTTCAATGAAATAAATAAGCTGAAATATTACACTATCGAAAATTTTAAAATCTCATATTTTATTTATTTTATTTTTATTTATTTTTCATTCTCACAAAATTTTCTCGAAATTTTTTTAATAAATTTTTGATCATATAAAATAAAAATATTTAAAAAATAAAATAAAAAATTCTTTTGACTGAAAATTAGTTTTTTAATATATTTATTGTTATTATTAATTCACTTATTTACAAAACGAATTTATTAATACTGAAAAATGAATATAAATATAATACAATTAAAATTATAAAATATTAAATAATGTTCCAATTAAGAGGTGCAGTATTAGAAAATATCGTAGACTATCATATCAAAATGTTGAAAGGTAATTCGCTTTTTGCCCCAGGCAGTAAACCTGCAATTAAAAATCCACAGAATGCTGAGGATTTGCTTGTATTTTTATCACCGAATAACTCCCTGACAAAAATTTCTAACGATATTAACATCCGGTGGAGTTAGCCTGTACGAAAATGGTGAGCGCTATCCACTTACTTTTATTCGATTAATGATAAACATATCGGAATTTTCAGAAAATATTTTTAAATTTAGAATTAAAAAATTTATAAAATTTGTTGCAAAAAACAAAATATTTCCTATAAAATAAAAAATAGTTATTAATAAAACAATTTTAAAGCAATGAAATGATAAATCATTAATATTTTATTGAAAACAAAGGAATTATTATTGCATTTGCATCCCAAATTTATAAAATTTATTACTGCAACAAATTTTTCCATTTTTTTAACAATTTTACTTAATAAATCATTTCATATTTACTGTTTAAATTAAGACGACTTTTCTTTTCGCAAATTTTCCCCCTTTCTTTTTTTAGAATTTATAACGCCTACAAATAGTAAAAATAATTATAAAACAAATAAAATGAAACCAATGAATGCGTGTGCAATAAAAATAATAAATACGTGAACAAATAGAATTAAAATGTTAAGCTTAGCCCGTGAAAAGGTTAATTTGAGGGAATGAAATGTCAAAATTGGAAGAATGAAAGGGTAATCTGAAGGATAATCTAAAGGATAATATGGAAGTTTTTAAGAGAGAAAAAGCGATTTGTGAAAAAAGAACAAAAATATTTGAAAATTGAAAGCAAAACCAACAAAATTCGTCATTATTCGCCATAACTTTTTCCTCCAAATAACTGAAATATACGGAAAGAAATGGCCGTTCTCGTCAATGACCTTTCTATTTGCAAAAGTCGTCCATAATGAATGACGATGACAATGAACTTCGAATAGGTTAAATATAAATTTGTCCTTTAAAAATTTGTCTCCAATTAATTTAAATTCGATTTTTTGAAGCCGAAATTGCATAATTCATTTATTTTTTATATTAAATCTAATTGAAAAGAAAGATTTGACACGAAAAGCAAAAAAAAATTTTGAATAAATTCGCGAAAATAATAAAAAAATTTGTTTTATTTCCCAAATGAATATTTTATTCATAAAAAAAATAATTTTCTCATTTTCATTAGAAATTATTCATTGATTCAGTTAATTTTCAGAATTCCTCCTTTTATTTCTTACTTTCAATTTTTCGAAAATGGAAAATTTAAAAATTCATTTCTCCTCTAAAACTAAGATACTTACAGTTTATTAATTTGTCTGCTTAGAAAATCGATTCACGCATTTCTCATAGAATTTCTTTTTCTCAAAAGTTCTCCTCCTTTTCGAAAAAATCGCGGAAAGCCGTCTTCCTCGAGGCTTAAAGGGACTTCCCCAAGGGATTTCCGGTCGCTAAAACTACTCTTTCTCATCGACAAATCCCTTCCTCCAAGCACTGTGGAACTTAACAGAAATTTCAGACCGACACGGCGCGCTCTCCGCGACTCCAAAAACGACTTCCCTGCTGAAGTTCCACGCTGCGCGTTAGAAATTCGCAGTTCTTTGCAGTGTTTCACTTTCAGTTTCAAATTTCATTTTAGAAAAATTTGAGTATAAAAAATTTGCCATAAAATTTCAAATATTTCGAGATTAACTGAAAATAAAT